ACTGTTTTTATTATGGGTATGTAATTTTCGAGAAAAGGCCTGAAAAACAGCTCAGGGCTTAAAGGGTTAATAATATTATCTTAGGGTGTTATGAGCCTCGAAATTAGGTTTTTAAATTTAAGGAATTAGGAAAAAGTGCCTAAATTAGCCAAAGCTAACAGTTAGCCTAACTAGCCTGATCCCGGCAGTTGGATTTTTATGTTGATTTCGAGGTCTTGTGAAATGTTCTTATCATTTTTACCTCAAAAAAACACAAGATGAAATGTGGCAATGACACACGTCAGGATAAGATGCCGACACAGTGGAAAGATATTGCAGTTGTAGCTCAATTTTCACAGATTTTGTGGTTGTTGTCGTGTTTTGGAGGCCAGTAGAGTCGTATCAAACCGAGTTTGGCCACCATGACAAAGATTTTTCCCAGCTTTCGTGCACATATCCCAACGTAACGCCCACATTTCTCAGTTTCTTTGCTTCTGGTTTAGCAAACATGAAGTGAACAAACAGCTGCGACTTCATACTAATTACTTACTTAACATGTTGTCACAGAGTTAATAGAACCGATAACTGTGGCCAGAGAAACTTAATTAAATAAAGTGAATGTCTTACAGTTATGAGCCTCGAGTTGCATCACATCACTGGAGAAAAAGCGTCAAAGCGAAACAATACAAGATTGTACTAAGAACACATTTTAAGTCTGCATCACAGGATGAACAGGAACTAGCCGCCTACTGGAGCAAACACTGGACTGAAAGCAAACTAATCAGCAGTTTTCACTCGTTGCGTACTAAACATTGAACCGACTCGGAGCCGGTGAGCGCTGCACTTACTTAAACACGTCCCCACGATTTAATAGTTTCTGCTACGAGAGCAGCTAAAAATCAAAATCAGCAAACTGAAATGAGCACAAATAATTCTGTTTGTTGTAATTTGAGTCGCTCTCTGCACAACACAAAATCATCTCATCGTACAAAATGCTCACACAATATAACAAAAACATGTGACGAGTGTCTGACCTTGAGTCCGATGACGTTCTGTCCGTTGATTTCACAGATGTAATGTTCGGTCAGCAGGCCGTTGCGAGCAGCAGAACCGTCCTTGACCAGCGAGGTGACTTTACCGGACTTGTAGATGAAGCCCACGTGGCCTGAGCTGTCTTTGTGCATGGTGACGGTGCGCTGGAATGGCCTGAAGACACCAACAGAAGAGATTATTGTGGTGCAACGATGTGCTACAAAGACCCAACAGTGTGCCTGTCATCTTATAAAAACACAAACTAAAAGCTGTGTCATATGGACGGGGCTGAGCTGCAAAGAGCCAAATAACCAGCAGAGGGAGCCAAACGGTTCAGCTTCTAATGAGATCATGTTAAAAAAAAAAAAAAAGGTGACAGACACAAAATCTCTCCTGTTTAGATGTTAAAAGCTTTAAAATCTGAAATCTGCTGCCTAGCATGAGTCGTGAACCATGAAGCAGTCGTCTTATCTTTCACCGGTGAGCTGGGAAGGTTGGATTGAAGACAATGAAGAGACTTTTTGTTTGGATTCCAACACGCTATTAGAGATAAAAGTTCCAAAAAGCTGCTTAAAAAACTATTAGAACTAAGTGTAAAACATGTAAAAGGACAATTAGATGAAAAGATGATGAGTGTGTTTCCAAACGTGTGTTTATATTCCAATTCGGAGGTTCGTTAACCACTTCACACAGTCTCACTAATTCAACTTCAACCCAGTCTGTAAAAAAATTAAATATACTTGTGACACAAATGAAAATTAAACCGATAATGACAAATATCACATTTTCAACAAACTAATGCAGGATTATTCAACATCTTGTCTGCATCTACAGAATGATAACGTATCCGTCTGAGTGGTAAAATACAATAGCATGCATATACTCTATGTTCTTTAGCTGCAACTAGCCTTCCAGTAACGTTTAAATAACATCAACTGCTTTTGGATCTTTGGTGTTTATAAGCTACAGGTAGGGCTGTTAGCTTAAGTTATATTAATGCTGCTTTAATGGTTTTAGCTCTTGTAGCTAAACGGAACATGCAACTGTCAAAGTGAGTGTCGCAGTGAAGCGTCCTCACCTGTCCCTGACCACCAGCTCGATGCGGGTCTCGGCGGCAGCCTTCAGGGCCTTGTGGGCCTTGTCCACGCTCCATCCGGCGCAGTTCTGCCCGTTGATCTGAAGGACCTGGTCCCCGAAGCGCAGGCCGGCCAGGGCGGAGGGGGAGTTGGCCTGCACCAGCTGGACAAACACTCCCTGAGAAAGAGGAAACAGATAAAACATTCAAAATGAGTCTGAGGGACGGAGGAAGAGGAGGAAGAGGAGGAGGAGGAGGAGGAGACGCCGAAAGTGGAGAAAACAAAGGAATCCCTCAGGAGGGGAAAAAAAAGGGAAGCAAGGACACAGAGAGAGAACAGAGGAAATGCAATGTTTGGGAAAAAAAAGAATGAAGGATGCTGCTGGAGGAGTCGAGAAAGTGGAACACACGACAGAAAACAGGATCAGCTGGTTTGAACAGTCGATATTTGATCTGTGCAGTCCGTGGATGCTGCATCAGCCTACAGGTCACTGAAGAAATCACAAGTTTGTTGTGTTTGACTGCAGCCTCACATCGATTAGCGGCACACTGGCTCTCCGGTGTCTGCCCGCTGCTCATTTCAGTCGCTATCAGAATGATTAATCGGTTTTAAAACAGATCACTTGTTCAGTCTGTTTGTGTTTTTCTTGCACTATTGCTCCTAATACTGAGAACCGACACCACCCAGTCACTATTTCTGTCACTAATTAGCTCGCCACCCTAATTACCGCTAATCGCTTTCCCAAGAAAATCACATGCTGATAGAAACACTTCTGTCAAGCCTTAAAACTGGGCAGTGGTGGACTTCTTAAGTTGTTAGTCAGCTTCATCAGGTTGAAATTCCTCATTCCTGTTCAAAACGGTGGTCTAATAAATTTGTTAAGTACTCTATATGTGTATAAATTGACTAGTAAACTTGGCTCCGTGTCTCGTAGCCGTAGTTGCTAAATGATTAATGGTAAAATGACATTCGATCAATATGGTGGATGACGAAATGCTCCAGACAGAGTTCCACCCAGATCAGGAACAGGGTCAAAGGCAAGTAAACACCAGTCTGTGTCGTAAAGAGTTTGGGTGCTGACTCACGTTGTCGATGGCTCTGAGCCGGAGCCCGACCTTCCCGTCCTGGTCCTTGCAGAGGATGATCTCCCTCAGGCCCGGACGGATCTCTGCCCTCCTGATGCCGATATCTGCCCCCGTCACCGGCCGAATCATCCCACCAACGCCTGAGCTGGAGGGCACTGCCACCTGCTGTGGGGAGGTTTACAGGATTACATTAAAAGTTCAGATAAAAAGGAATACTGCATCAAACAGAGGCACGTGGGAGGATGTAAATTCATCTCCTGCTGCATAAATGAATGAGATCAGGAAGGCTTTCGGTGCTTCTTTTCATTAATGTCATTAATACGCTTTGCAATTAACCAAGGAAGACTGAAGAGATGACAGAAATAACAGTATAGGTGAGGGTCCTCTGCAAACGGCAGAGAACACAGATGGTTAAATGCCAGTTTGGTCGCTGCAGGATCCACACGAACACATCGGAGGGGAGGGAAGAGCTCACACTCTCCCACTCAGTGCTCCGGGCCTGTGGTGAGTCATTCAGCAATGTGGATCTCCAGGAACACTGTACCGCTGTGTTCTCGTGCCTCTTTCCTTCCACTGAAAGCAGGTTTTTAATCTTTAAAAGCTGGTATTCATACATTTATAATTAAACATGACCCGGATATGCTTTTCTTCACAACACAGCGTTTGTCATTTTCACCCCCAACTGTACAAGAGAGAGGATCATTTTCCACAGAACCCACACGAGAAGCGACAGGATGAGGACATTAATAATGCATCCGCGTTAGCGCTTACATTGTCAGCCACAGGCACCAGGGCCAGGTTCTTCTGGACTTCGTCGCTGTTGAGGGCCAGTCCCATGTAGTCTCCCAGCTCCTCCAGATTTGGGTACAAGCCTGGAAGAACGAGGACATGACAGCGGTAAATACAACAAGAAAGAACTGAGGAAAGGTGAGTAGACGGAGGCAGGCCGAGCAGGTGGGAGAAGACGGAGAGTGAGAGACAGGTGGCTGGTGGGAGACGAAGGAAGAGCTCACCTTTAGGTTACATAATGAATAAATAAAACATCGACAGGACCGCTGATGGACCAGAGCTCAATGTGAGAGTCACAATAAATCAACAAAACACTGCAAAACCTGTTTTTGTCAATTTGGACCAAGGGTCGACCTACAGACATGTACTTTTAGGGTCGATATTGACACCAGTTGTTAGAAATAAAGAAAAGCTGATAACATTTGTAGAGATACACATTAAATGTTATATATGAACAGAATGTGATGACATTACTTCACTACGAAGGGCTTCTGTAACTGAATCTGTTCAACAGAAACAGGAGCGATGGCGTCCGAGCATCATGTGACACTACATCGCTCTCCTCCGTGAGGCTAACAGGTTTTGTACCTGTTCTATCGGTGTACTTGCCCACTAAGGTCCAGATCTTAAAGCATCATGAGCTATTGTTTTCCAGACTCTGTTTCAGGTTAATCTGTGGCTGCCTGCTAACGTAGCCGCTAGTCGTTAGCCTTAGCCACTGGGAAACAAGCTAATTTCCTGATTTGATGGGATGGTTGAGCTTCTTGTGTCTCGGTTCAAGAGCTTCAGAAACATGTTGTGGGTATTACAGTTTGCCAAAGGCTAAATGGCACCGAAGATAATTATAAAAATTCTGAATATTGGCGCAGATAATCGGTCAGATTGATAATCAGTCGATCCCTAATATGGACTGTTGTGTGTAGAGTGAATAAAAAGCCATTTCAGGATGAGTTTGAAACAACACAATATGGAAACCTTCAAAAGCGTTCTGCACATATTCTATATCATAATACATAAATGTCCTTGTTAGAAGAGAAAATATGTTTATTACTCATGTTAAAAGGTAGTTTATCAGCTCTTTGATTAGCAGCATACAAAAAAAGACAAAAAAACATGATTAAATCGTTATTACATCGTTATTAAAAAAGGATTGGACTAAAACAAGATTGCACCACATATGATAGAACACGTCCTGGTAATGTTGTCTTTAAGCGCCTTTCTCTACCTGCTTCAACCACCCAGGATCCTAATTAGCATCTCTTCCTAAATGAAAACACTGAAGAGAAGCCACATAACCTCCGCCTCTCACTCACTGGAGTACAAACATTGCTGTTTTAGCCACACCTCTGGAGTGTTTTTAGCCGATCTCATTGTTTCCAGCACTTGATATTTTATTCATGCCGTCCATTACAGCAAGCCCCAGCTTGAGGCACATTAGCAGCAGTCTGAGCCACGGCGCAGTAAAACCTTCCTGGCATCGGCGTGCGGCACCGAAATGTACTTCTTTATGCCGAGCTAAATATAACGAAGACGTCTAAACATGCACCCAAAGTTTTTGTGCAAACAGGTGACGCTGCTAACGTTCGGCAGCTCGCATCATTTTATCCTGGCAACGGTAGAAGAAATAACACGTAAGGTAGGAAGTCAGAGGAAGGAAAATAAGCACGAACTAAGTCAGCCAACGGCCATAAAGTGGAAATCCGGAAACATCTGTCAGCTTATTCAGAATGTACTGCCCATTTATAGCGTTCTGAGGTGTTTGGAAAGTACGTGGGAGGAGAAATATTCCCAATCCTGACTCATCGAAAAAAGATGGATCACCAGGAAATGCAGAAGTTAAGAAACAACTCGTTGATTGAAGCATTCAGCCTTTTAGCACTTAGCCTGCGATCAAACTGAACCAGTGTTCTTAGAATTACAGTGATTTTAACACATGTATAGTTCGTTTATGTTAATCATCTTCTCCTTGTATTTATCTTTTTATTCCTGGAGGTTGCTTTCTTTTATTTCTTTCAATACGTTGTCCTATGATTGTTCTTAAAATACATTTATTAGGATCACAGTTCTTTCTTTTAGATGTTTTTTTAAATACATACTTTCACTTCATTGCCAATTCAAAATAATATTCTATTTTATATATGCTGTTGTGTCCCTTTTAGACATTGAACTTCTATCCATCCATCCATCTTCTCCCGCTTATCCGGGGTCGGGTCGCGACATTGAACTTAAGGCAGCAAAATATGATAAAAACAATGTATGATAACTGAAAAATATTTGTTTCTAATTGGCGTAAATGGAGAAAAAAGCCAACAGGGAACAGCACAAGCGCCTAAAGAAATGGTTCAAACAGATATAAATCCCTTTTATTAATTAAAAGTCTGTTAAAAAAAAAAAAACACGGTAAAGACAGCCTGGAGTGTGACAGGACAGAACCAGGAAGTAGCCATTCTGGATCTCAGTCGATATTTCTATCAACATATGACTCTGTGATTTTTCTTTAACAACAGGGACTGAGCAGCGGTAACAGGGTGGAGTCAAGTCTCGAGTCAACCACAGAGAAATCCCCCAACGTGCACTTACAGATAACAGATCTGGTCACGGTATGGAAGAAGACAAACCCCCACACGTTGCTGATCTGACAGACGAAGTATAAAATGACAGAACGGCGCAGATTGAACAGGCACTCCTACACTCATAAAATATACTGTTTCAGTATTTCAGAAAGCTGAGAATGCCTCGTCATAGGAGTTGGCCTGCCCTCTCTGGTTTCCTCACTGGCGTTTCTCTGCTCTCCTGTTTTATCTCCTTCATTCACCTCTCCCACACGTGCCTGTTTCACATCTACCCACATAGGCAGATAGAAAAAAAATAAAAAAACAAAAAGCACGACTCGTACTGGCTTGGGAAAGATCTCGCTTCTTTTATTCAATTCATTACTGTTCTGCTGTCCTTGCAGGTCCCCCTGTGCCTGACCCGAGTCCATGTTGAGCTAAAGCAGATGAGGGAGAGTCCTCAAATCCACATTTCCAGATCAGACCTCTTGCCGTCTCCTGAAACTGACACCGACTTACTATGAGTTCTGCTTTACCAGCTCTCACTGATGCTTTAAGGAGGAATTAAATCACTGCTTAAATTGTTTTGCAGCTTTAAAAACACAGATGTAGTCTGTGCACAGATTTCCTTTTGTTACAGACTTGTTTTTCTCACAAGGATGATATATAGGTGCATCTAGAATAATGAGAAATATCGTAATAAAGTTCTTAATTTAATTCAAAAAGACAAACTTTCACATATTTTACATTCATTACACATTAAGTCTTGTTTGGTTTAATTTTGATGATTATGGCTGATAATTAATGAAATCCTGCATATCCTGCACACTGAACAACACCAAGATTTAAGATTCAAGAGCTTTTATTTGCCACATGCTCATACTGTACGAGCAACTAATCGCAAAGTACAAAAACAGTAAGACATCATAAAAGAACCTTCTTCAAAAACAACACAAATGTAGAAAAAAGTCCCAGCGTCATAAATAACGAGATTCTGATGCAAAACCAACACGTAGAAATGAATAGAAATGTACTCCGACTTGAAATCAAATATTCTAATGATTTGAGATACTTGGTTTCTGATTTTCTATCCGCCGTAATCATCCAAATTAAAACAAAGAAGTGGAATATTTAATTTACAAGTAATGAAGTTTGGAATTTAACTGAATAAAAAGGAACCTTTTAACAATATTCTAATCATTTAATATGCACATGTATATCACTCTTGTGGGAAAAACAACCATAGAAAAGGAATTAATGCACAGCCAACATCCACTCTGATACATCCCCAGTAACACTGACACTACACTGGTATGACATTATTTTATTTTCTGCCTTTAATATATTTGTTAGACTTTACGTTAGACTTGTGCAATAGCTACGACTGCACAGCTACCTCTTTATTATTGTATGCAATCGTTTTATGATGCCTTTATTGTTTTGTTTTTACATTGGCTTTTTAACTCTAATGCACCAAACAAAAATGGCAGCTAAATCTAATTGTGTCCTGAATACAATGACAATAAAGGCTTTCTATTGTATTCCAAAGCTGTGAAACTATTTAAATCATGATTTGAGTCGTCCTTAAAGCATCGGTTACGGCTGGTGAAGCAGGATTCAGATAGAAGAGAAACATCATTAACTGACTAATTTGGAAATGTGAAGTTTACCTTTTTGAATTAAACTTGGGGGGGAAAAAAAACTCTCTTTTTCATGATATTCTGATTATCTGACGTGCACTTGCAGGAAATCACTGAAAGAAAGAAGAGCGGTCATGTTGTTGGGTCACAGTTAGCGTATTTATCTGTGCTGTGGTCCAGTGTGGACGTCAATCAGAACCTCCCTCTCTGGTTCTTTTCTCCCCTTTAGCTCCCTCCTACAGCCCTGGGTCTCCTCCTCTTCTTCCTCCTCCTCCTCCTCCTCCTCCTCCTCATCTCTTTCCCCCGATCGTGCCCTGTCCCAGCACAACTGCCAGAGCCGGTCTCCATGGCGACTCGGAGCCGGCTCTGCCGAGGTAAAAACAAAAGACCCAGAAGCCCACAGGACTTTGCATCCAAACAGAGAGAAAGTGAATGAGTGGGAGAACGGGATGAGGGGGAGAAGTGAGTGAAGATAAGCAGAAACGCTGCGTTTTCTAATCTCTGAAGGGCCCCCTGCACATCTCTTTCCTACTTTTATTCTTTTGTTGTTGAATGCTTCATTTCAGTCGCCTTTCATTCCGTCTGGCTAACTGCACGGTTCAGGCCGACTTCCACAAAAACGCAGGAAAACATAAAAAAAATACAAGAGCTGAAGAAAGAAACAGGGAGCGGCCAACAAAGTGGGGAAATTACAGCAGGTTTGGGGGGCCCATTTACTCCTGTTATTCTCCAAATAGCCCATAACTCCTCCCATCCCAGTCCTCTCGCTGCTCAAGGCTTTTATCCGGCCCCCATACAGCCCAACTTCTATTTTCTAAAGGCTCAGACCCCCCACTGAGACATACCAACAAATATCCAGCACAAGAAAGAAGAGGAAAAGCCTCTTTCAGACACGGGATACGTCACACTGCTGCCTTCATTATGTTAAATCATATGTTGGTCATTTCTACATTAATATTCCGTTGGGCTTCATTCACACAAACAGACTGGACGGTACATCAAAGGGTATAATTTAAAACAGCGCACTAATAAACGACAATCTAAACTAAAAGCAGCTCATAAAACCTTCCAAACAGCTAATAGTCTGGTGTGTTTATGACTTTCTAACCAATAAAAAGTCTGTACATGTGATGATAATCTATTTCTACCAACAGCACAATAAAAACATCCTGTGATGGACCTCAACCTGTAATAAATGATTTAACGGGGCAGCTGAGAAACTACAAGAGAAAGTGCACAGAGTTAGATTTTGACTAATCTTGTTTCCATGCGGTTGATAATTCATATAAATTCAACTATTTACCGCTGTGTAAATACACTGAACCCTCTCTGGAGACGCTCATGTGGATCCTGCTGCTGTTATTTAACAAACTCTGAGGTAAAACTCCTACAAACAAGTGGAAGCAACAAACTAAACTTCAGCTCCTGTTTGTCAAAACCCAGATTACACTCACTATTATCAGTGAGTCTCATTAATATGTTACAGCCTCTTCCTTCATTGCAGTTAAATTTTATATTCTTAGACATTTCAGTTGGTCATGGGTTAGGGTTAGCAGGTGCCAAAATGCAGAACACATCCTCCAAAAATCGCTTCACACGACTCAAAAGTTGTTGTGATTTTGCACGTGTCCTTCCCTTAATGTGACTCGATGCAGTTTAGACTTTCACTGTGTCGAAAACGATAAAAGTCCGACTTCGTAAGATCACAAGTTAAACACGATAAGTTCAGTTGGCGTCACATTAACAGAAAGAAATGCATGTTTGATAAAGAGACCAAAGGAATAGAGGTGAACAGGTGAAGGCAGTCAAAACTATAAAACACTTTCTGAGCTCTTGCAGCGCTACATGTGAGACTCACTGGATCCTGGCATCAGAGCAGCGGCAGGCTGAGGCTGGTAGGTTCCCTCAGTGATGGCTGGCATGGGGGCGGCAGTCTGGGCGAATTGGGCCTGAGCCTAGAAAGTAATCAGACACACCAGTCAACTGGAAGCTCGCTTGAATGATGGAATTGTGAATACCGAATTAGGGGCAATTGTCATCGGCACAATAACAAATGCAAAGAGGAGAAATAATTAAGGCCGGGCGAATTAATCTTCTTCTGTCGGTAATCAGATTAAGTGACTGCGGGATGATTCTATCCCCTCCAACAAACAGCAATAAATGATGTCTTTAAACAGCGGGCGAATGTGATGCTGACATGACAAAGTTATTCTAGAGCTGACTTCAGTTACTTAAGGGGACAGATTAAACAAAGACTGGCTCAAATTAAAGCTGCCTTTAACTCAATGACTTCCAGTAAAGCTACTAGCTCACATCTTCTATTAAATGACCCTGGTTTCTTCGTCCAAACGTCGCATTTTAATGCCTGAATAACAAAGTTTGAAGCCAAATCTCTGACATTTTGGAAACTTCTAGAAAGCTCAACAGCCACAGAGGACAGTTACTCATGATCAGGTTGGTTGCAAATCGCAGTTTTTCTTTCTATTTTACGAACCTACTGTTTTATGCAGTACAGCTAGGACGTACTCCTTCGTCCTAATAATGACAAAGCAAAGTTTTCTTTTTGTGCACGACACTGCAAAGTGTGTGACATAACAGAGGATTGTGTGTCAAAATGGACAGAAAACCACGCCTGCTTACACACTTAAAAATGGATGTGGTAGGACATTCTGGTATTTTTTAGCAAACTACATTTGACGCACTATGTATTATGAAGTACTGTGTCTTCTACATAGTATGATTACTTGAACACAGCCTCTAGAAGCAGAAGCTCCTTTTGTAATCGGCCCAAACTCAGCAGCTTGGACTGCTAGCGGGCTAATTATCTCCAGGTAAACGTCTAAAATAGACTCAGCTCTTACCTTGATGACCTTGTCGACCTTGAGGTCCTCGAGGGATGGATACAGGGACATGCTGAGGAGGAAACACAAACGTCCGTGAGTGAAGGAGGATGACAACGTGATATGAGATTTAAAAAAACGCTGCCTCGCCACGTTCCTGACTGGAAATCCTCGTCTCATCCACTACCTTTAAACTCCATTAGGCTGCGTTTCATAATAACCTTACATTGAATGATTGATGTGAAGGGATTGTAGTGCTTGTAATGCAGCACGTATTGACACAGAGATTACATAAATGACAGACCGAAGAAGAAAATCAAACATTGTGAAAGTCAAACAGAGACAGAAATTCTAAGACTAAACCTCCAAATCTGACCGTGTTGCAAATACAGGATATAAATATGGAAGCAGAAGGGATAATATTTAAAAAGTGGGAAATGAACAGCCACCAAAATATTAAATATCATCAGCATGAAGCTCCTCTAATGTGAGAACTACGGCTTTTCTTGCTCTTAAGTGATCGTAGGTCACTTTCACACTGTTGGCTGGATTAAAAATGTGAAAATCTAAAACTCAAAATTGACTTTTTGCGCATTTTTTGATGGACAAAATGACAAATAAAAGAAAAAATCTGCAGGTTAGATGCAACAGGGTTGTAATGTTACACAAACCTTACTGTACACAAGAAACCCATTTCTGTCCTGTTCATGTTTAAATTATGAAAGTATTGAAAAGCGTCTAAGTGTCTGAAACTTAATGCTGCAATTCAGGCACTCAAATGCTAAATAATGTCAATTAGAAAACACTTATTAGCTTATTGAGTGTATAAAATAGAGCAAATAATAAAAAGTCCATCATGAAAAGTGTACCATGTTCATAATTAGTCATTAAAGCCGGCAGTGAAACTTGACACAGCCGTCTATTTCTAAGTAAACTTTGTTGTCTGATTGACCCGTACAGGAAAATCAGAGAAACGGTACATTATCAAATTCAATGTGTCGCGTGAGCTAACACATCATACATGCTGAATGAAACCAACTTAGTTGCAGTTTTCGAGGCTGCTAGCGTGCTATAGCTGATGGAAAACAACTGTTCAGTGCCAAAATATTTCAGGTGGAGCTCGCGCTGTGGAATTCGTGTCCCCAGAGAACAAATATGTCGACATAAATTCATGATTTTTTTGGCTGAGCGGGCATACCGGACTGAGGATATTCAATACCGGACCCAACATCTTGTGCTGAACTGTTGTCGACGAGCACACACGCTGTTAAAACCCTCGATAATAGAAGTATTATGAGAATAACAGGAGCATTTTGTCTGATGCTACTCTGTGCTATGACTTCACATTTGATGGCATCTTTTTATCTAATCTTGTTCTCTCACTGGGTGACCATAAGTGTTCATAGGTGTGACTTTAAACTTGTATTAGAGACAATGACGCATTGGGAACATGCAGGTCAAAGTACAAAGGATGGAGGTTATCCAGAAGTAGGACAGGAAGTGATGACAATTTTTATTCACCTGCTCTAAACTGTAATCATGATAAAGCTTTCGGTTGAAGTTTAAGCAACACCATTATACCAAAAACAACACGTTAGTCTGTAATTATAGGCGACTTATGTGACGTACGTCTGTGACAAAACAGAAATCATGAGTAAACACGGGTGGAGAAAGAGAACATGTGAACAATAGCACAGGCGAGAGGTAAAAGGTGTCAGGCTTCCATGATGCCATTATAATGCAACCAGACGGGGCTTCCATGAATATGAAGAAACAGCAGCTCGAAACGGGAACAGGAAGTGAGTTACAGCAGTCAGTCAGCTGATGGAATTATGCAAACAGAGCAGCGAGAACAGGCTCCGACATGCATTCAGACAGGTGATAAACACAAACCTGCTGTCTGCTCCTCTATATTTAACCTGTTTGTTTCCTTTGATAGACGCCAAATTCCTCCCTGGTGTCTTTAATGATTTAAAAAACAAAAAAAAGGAGGCACAGCTTCAGCTTCTCAAGCAAACCTGCTTCAGCTACTTTTAAGATAAACTGTCCAACTCAGCTTCACAGAGTTCATGTTGAAGTCTTCAAACGTCTTGTTTTTTCTGATTAGGAGTCAAAAATCCGAAAATATTAGCTGGGAACAACTCCAGACTGAACACCAACTGACCTTTGACACTCTTATGCACCAACAAACAAGCAGCAAGGAACCAGGTCACGTCAGAGAAGCAAAATGGGACTCATGTTCCAATGGATGAACTGTGAACACCTTACAGCCTGTAGCTCATTTCTTTGTAAATAGTTTGCTTTAGTTTCGTTTTACCGTACATTGCTGTTGCGTTTTGCCTTAAACCTAAAGCAAGTGTTGAAATACCAGTTTCAAGGCTTTGCAGTATTTTTACAGACAATTCTTGGAAGCAAACAAAGACATTAAGATAACAAGCAGCACTGATCGTAAATACGTTTCATTAAAGTAAATAGTGGTTTTAACGTTAGTTGTCCTTTAGTCTGGTTTGGCTGTGTACCAGTAATATATGTACACTCTACTATTAGCGCTGAAGTTAACTAAAAAGTATGATACCAAGCAAACTGAGTGCGATTAATTCCTGACAGTCTTTTTATTTTTTATGATTTCCTTGGCCACACTGTGATAACTGTGTCACAGTCACAAGACATGTGGACACATCTGTTCCTCAAACAGGAAAACAAAGCGTCAGCGTAATGTGAAAAAGCAACTATGACCAAACTCCACACTGGGAAAATCCAAACTTTACTGACAGTCAAAAGAAAACGCTCGCTCTCCTCTGTAATGATTACGGCATTCACATCGAATCTCAGAGAAAAGCAAATAAAGCTCGATGAATCAAACATAAAATAAATTTAAAGGTATGAAACATTACAGATATGAGTCTAAACTGATGTAATGTGGGCAAACGGTGGCACAAAAAGTGGTCACAGATTTATTTTGACACCAGTACGTAAAACGGCATTGACTCTAAAATAAGTAAACCACTTGACCACAATCGTATTAATGCGACGTCTCACTCTCGCAGCCACTACAGTCACTACTCTATTCTATTATTGTCAGTCCTCACAGACAAGTGCATCATTGTGTTGGTGGACACAGAGGGGCATTTTAATACCTTCCACTGTTTACTTTTCAGCTGTGTTTGTTTGCTCGCTTTATATTCCTCCCTCATGTGGACTAGCAGGCCAGAGGTACAAGTGAATAAGCCTGGAAAAAATGAGTGTTTGGGCAGATGACATAACATAATCCTCCAGTCACTGCAGTTCAACCGAAGTGGACGACTGGTGCTATTTGAAAAGCTCCTAGAAGAAGAAGCTTTAGCGCGAGGAAAAGTACCGATACAAGCATGTAGAAATACTCCATGACCAGTTAAACTCCTGCATTAAAAATACTTTCTGCTAAATGTACCTAAAAGTACTTTATGTTCAATAAATAGCCTCTGTGGCTGATTAATATTGAAGTAGAGTTTTGCAGGTTTAACTATTTCACATGCAGGTTAGCTAGTTCACTGTAGCGCTCACCATCCCTGGGACTGTGTTTCTTCTCAAATCTTTGCTTTTCTCGTAAAACATAAAGGTCATTTTGTCTCTTGGGGTCTTCAACTATTTTTGTCTAAAAACTCCCAGACATCTATAACTAACTTGGCCAAAACTAGACTCCAATTTAAAGTAAATCTGCTCAAAACAACAAGCTTAGAGGCCTATAAATATATCTTCAGGTTTTTAATGTAAACTCTTTATCTTATCCATCTTATTACAGCTAAAAATAACTCTTCTGCAATGCAACGCAGTGCTTTGTTTTTACAGTCTAACTATTTTAATTACAATAAACTAGTTCAGCGCAGTGCTTACCATCTTAAGAACTGGGTCTCCTGTCAAATCTGTGCTTTTCTGGTAAAATAGTTAATAAACTTTACCTCTTTGGGTCTAAAATCATTTCCTTTTTTAAAAATGAAACCACATGAGAAGCCTGGAAAGAAAACGTCGCTCCTAAAAACTCTCAGACATTTGAAACTTTCACTGATTATAAGTGAAACTGTACAAGACAAACGGTTTTTAACGTAAACTCTCAATCTGTCAAGCTACCAATAATTACACCTAAAAACACGTCTTCTACAATGCAAAGCAGAATCGTGCAGTTCTGACTATTTCACATACAGTTAAACTAGTTCATGGGACTATTATGGGACTGGATCGCTTGTCAAATATTTGCTTTTCTGAAGAAATACTTAAGAAACTCCACCTCCTTGGTTCTAAAATTGTTTCCTTGTCAAAAAAAAAAAAGAAAAAAGAAACTATATGGGAAACTTAGAGAGGAAATGACACTCCTAAAAAAAACACTCAGACATTTGAAACTTTGAAGGCCAAAACAAGACACCGATTTTAAGTGAAACTACCTGAGACAAATAGTTTTTAACATAAACTCTCAACCTGTCAAGCTACTAATAATTACACCTAAAAGTACGTCTTCTGTAATGCAAAGCAGAGTTGTGCAGTTTTGACTATTTCACACAAAGTTAAACTAGTTCATGGCACCATTATGGATGGGTCTCATGTCTCATCTTTGTTTTTCTGGAAAAATATTGAATACATTTGATCTATTTTGGTCACAATTGTTTACCTTTAAAAAAAAGAAAGAAAGAAATCTTGTGGGACACTCAAAGAAGAAATGAAACTTCTAAAAACCGTCAACATCTAGAAGTTAGAGGGGCAAATCAAGACACTATTTAAAGTTGTACTAAATAATAATAACAGCTGTTACATGTTATAGTTCAGTAAAACTATAAAGCAGCATCAAATGAGCGACTGTAGTTCAGTTCAGGCTGAACACATGTACTCAGTTACTTTCTGCCACCGCATGCAGCTCGCACAGCAAAGAGCTTTAGAGGAAACTGGGCAGGAAAGAGAAGCTAACTTCAGTGAGCCTGAACGAATCGGTTCGATCCAAGAATGTGCTCTTCTTGGCAGCTTATTCCGGTCCACTGACACGGCTGGGAAAGAGCCGGAGAGGGACGGAGGGAGGCGGACGGACCCACACCCTGATTACTGCTCCAGTTCAATAGCACCACGCTATTTAACGGGGAGTTCAGACAGCTACACAGCACACCGTTATCCTGTGCAATAAACAGGCACCTCGATCTGCGCTATTAACAACACGAAAGCTGCATTTATCTCACAGTTACACAGCTTTATTCTTAATATATGTAATATTCTAATTAACGCGAATGTTTAGCTTTAGCTTCGCGTTGTGTCTCAGTAACACGATTAACCGCCGCTAGCTAACATTTCCGCTCGGTGGTTAAAACTAATTTAAAGACGACATTTTCAAACAGCTAGCGGGTGAATATGTTTAAATTAAACAACCCCGAGAGGTTTATGAGGGAGCACGGAGCCAACGGAGCCGCCGAGTCTTTGTTCCGACACAAACAGCGGGGAAGCACGGAGCTAGCTAACCGTAGCGACGCTAGCTCGCTGGGCGAACCGAACCGGGGCTGTCCACAGTGACCGTCAGGAGGGATTCGGCACAAGGATTCGTTAAAGGCGGCCTCACCTGTAACGTGTCGGCGGTGATATCAGCTCCAAACAGTCGGTAGTCTCTCAGACGGCGGCGCTCTCCTTTATTTTTCCGTGTCTCCGTCGCTGGAACCTGAAGGGGACTTCTGGAAAGTGATGTCACTGCTGGCTTCCTGGTCGTGAGAACACGTCAATCACTGTTGACGCTGCAGGCCACGCCCCCCGTATCGGTCACATGACCCCTGACTCAACATAAACACTGTACATGAAACTGATCTTAACCATTGTGGCTGGTTTTGTTCTAAAAAAAAAAAAAAAAAAAAAAAAAAGGGTTCTGGGAAAGTTCGGCGAAGTTCTAATAATATTTAAGTATGTTTACTTTATAAACAGGATAAAGTTCTCTCATTAAACATTTTCTGATTTTGTTTATCATGTGACATTGTAGGAACGCTTTATGGAGGAGTGTTTTGTTATGTGTTTCTTAGTAACATCCCGAAAACATCTTCAGAAGATTGCAGGCAAAATGTTCCACCTTTGTCATTATGTCAAATCACAGGAATATTAAAAAAAAACAAAAAACAAAAAAACCCAACATGACGCCTCTATAACATCTTGAAAACATTTTTTTAATGTTAATTTGAGAGCGTTCTTCTTTTGTTATTAAGGCACAACATCCTTTACATTACAGGAAAACTTTCTAAAAGATAAAAAAATATGTCTTCTGAGGCCTCAATACATCTGGAAAGCGTTTTTTAAATGTTGTTTGACAACGTTCTTCTTTTGTTATCTCAAACCTCAATGGTCAAACCTACGATCGTTAAACCAATTTCAGACATTAAATCAGACCAAACTTTTCCTGTTTCAGGTCAGTTAGGATCACCAACATCATTTCTATTTCCTAAACGCCAGAATAATGAGAGAGATGATTTTTTTTAGAATTTTTTTTCACTACTTTCTTCAAAGTCAGAAGTTTACATCCACTAAGATGCCTTCAAACTATTTGGGAAAGCCCAGATGATGATGATGTCATGGCTTTGGAAGCTTCTGATAGGTTGACAACCTCTGAGTTAATTGGAGGCACACCTCAAACACACTGCTTCCTTTTGTGACAACATGGAAAATCTAAAGAAATCAGCCAAGATATCAGGAAGAGAATTGCAGTTCCACCGGTTCTGTCAGGAGGAATGGGCCAGAACTCATCAAACTATTGTGAGAAGCTTGTGGAAGGAAACCCAGAACGTTTGACCCAAGTCATACAGTTTAAAGGCAACGCTACCAAATACTGAGGAGATGGATGGAAACTTCTGACTTTGAAGAAAATAATAGAAAAAATTCTCTCTCTCATTATTCTGGCGTTTAGCAAATAGAAATAATGTTGGTAATCCTGACTGACCTGAAACAGGAAGAGTTTAGTCTGATTTAATGTCAGATAGTGAGAAATAAAGGTTTTATGCCTTTTTATACAGTGGATGTAAACTTCTAGTTTCAGCCACATCTGCTCTCATCCACTGTTACTTTTTGTTGTAAATGTAGATTTTAAGAAAGCCCGTCTTCAAACCCTAACCTCCTGAAATACTTGTGATCCTGCCACGGACGTTTTTCAACATGGAAATCATGAATAGCAGAAACTTTTTGGGGTGAAGTTTTAACAGTTTACTGTTTGTTAACCACTTGACACTCTATGAGTTTGTAAAGTGCAAACACAGATAATTCTAATATAGTGTTTAGCACTAAAATAAAAGCTGCAAATTCCTCCCACTGAGCTACAGTGAGAGTTGATACGACAGTTTGCAGCATAAAAAGTCCTTTTATTCATGATTACGTTTACAGTAGTTTGCTTTACTGCATTTGTGCTGGTTTTCCTTCTTCATTCTGAGAGAGGCCATGCAGCAAATTCTGATTTTAAAACCTCATTTGTTCTGTTGAGCTTTAATGTTATTATATTTCCAGGAGTATAGCGTCATAACTGAGGGAGTTATTAACTGTCAACATTTAACGTGTAAAATTATCATTTTTTTCCAACATGAGAAGTGTTTAAAAGAAAAACTCAAAGAAGTAAAAGCATAACAACACATTCTTAATAAATTAAAGTCTAATATTTGCTATTTCATGCTGTCAGCTATGAAGATACTAATCCGTAATGTACTTTAAAATTAATGAGAGCCAATTTGTCTCATCTTTAGCCTCTCAAGCAGATAACAAACTGTATGTTGTTGTTATTTATGCTGCCAGGAGGAACATTTTCCTGCAGTGCATCAATGAAAAAGCACAAAGAGTTGAGGGCTGATCAATTTAATGTCACTGGAATATCAGTTACATGTACTTTACATTCAAAAACTGATCATATGTATTGGATTTGGGAACCTGTTTGGAATTTTCTGGCACATCAGCCATCAATCTGCAAGATTTTTCATTTTGGATGTGCAGAGTTACTGTAATCTGAGCTGGTGTTTGTGTTTTTGTCATCTGTAAAGTTCAAACTAATAAGTATAATGCAGTGCAGTGAGAAAAGATATGAAAAAAAACAACCTTCAACAGTCATGTGGAGAGCACTTGTTTTATTTTAAATATGTCTTCATTGGTTTAGCCTGCGAACAGTAACGTCTCAGCACAGAACTACACAGTACAGAGGTGGACTGCTACCACACCAGCTGCAGCTCGGCCAATATGTAACATCGACAGCAGCCACGGTCAATATCAGACAGCCAGGCCAGCATTTTCCTTCATTTAAACTCCATTTAAAACTATTTATTGGAGATACAAAAGAAAAAAGAAAAAAAAAACCCACGAGGACGCCTGTGTGTCAGCATATTTCTTTTTTAAACCACAACACAGACTTTGGTTAGGCAGTGTGGTACGAGAAAGAAAACAAAACTAAACAAGAAAACTGTCATCGTACATTAGCTTTGTTGATTCTCAGAGATAGAAAGTTGGCATTTGAAAAATACACAATTGAAGTCGTTACACAAAATAAGCTCGGGGGAGGTCACAGTGTGATCAATTCCCCCTTTTAGTAAATTTCAAGCATTTCCCTTTTTTTTTTTTTGTTTCCTACAAAAAAAAAAAAAAACTCCAATTGATGACGCAAATCCCGTCTTTGCACTGTTCGACCTGTGTATGGCTTTAAATGGGGTTTAAAGACTTGGCGTGATGAGAAGGCAATAATAAATCGGATGCAAAGCTTTGGAACATGTACAGACGAAGGGTTCCGTCGGGTCTACGACATGCAGACAGGGCTGGGTTTTTAACCACGTGTCTGTTGAGAATATTTAGGCACACATCAGAGCTATCTACAACTGTGACTGGTTCCCTATGAGCCGATTACCCCTCTCACGCATCGCTTAGCAACTTTAGTGACAAGAAAACACAGTGGTTCTATACAGAAATGCCCATTTTATGAAGCAAACTCCTGTGTCGCACCATCCAGCTCCCCCCTGACCTGATACTTCCCTGTAGGTAGATATTAAGTTCAACATCTCGTTTCATTTGATCCAATTCAAGGCTGGGATACAAATGTGTGCTTTTTTTTTTATTTCTTTAGTATCATTATTTGCTTTTGTACATTTTCTTGTTTGTGTAGGTATAACAAGCCGTCAAACATCCGAAGATGAGTGCGCGTCGACTCCGGAGAGATGAATGTCGCTGCAAGTGGTTCATTGGTATCTTTTGTACTTCTCAGCGTAACCATGCACAACCAGCACTTCAACAAAACACAAAGAAAAGCAAAAGTTCAAGATTAAGAACGTGGAGGTTCGTAAGGTTATGGCCCATAGTTTGTAGAGGAAGGATAAGGATGGAACAAAAAAAAAACAAAAAAAAAAACGTAATGAACTCAGTCACAGAGACAAAATAACACAAACTGTCGTCGTCCGATGAAGTAAGTAGTGGAACTATAGACTCGAGCCTCTTTTAGAATCGGGTGCAGACTCTCCTCAGCTTCTCTCCAGGTCGACCAGGTAGGGAGTCACCTGTGGACATAACAGCAAGGACAGCAGTTTACTTAGAAATGTACTTTCCTGTAGGGCCTTATGTTAGGTTTAGACGTACAGTCAGTCTTAACAACAAAATGCAAAAACAAAATTGTTATCATTCCGCGACAAAGCTGCGATTTGTCTTGATTTGTTTAAACCAATCTACATATGATGAGTCAGACAAATTCGATATTGTGAGGAGACTAACAACGCTCCAGCTTATTCACTGTGGAAGGCTGCAGCTCGTTTGCTCATTCAGACCAATTCATTGTTCAAGTGACCTGATGTTTACAACAGTTGAAACCAGAAGTTTACATCCACTGTATAAAAAGACACAAAACCTTTTTATTCTCGCTGTCTGACATTAAATCAGACTAAACTCTTCCTGTTTTAGGTCAGTGAGGATCACCAACATTATTTCTATTTGCTAAATGCCAGAACAATGAGAGATGCCTTCTAACTATTTGGGAAAGCCCAGATGATGATGTCATGGCTTTGGAAGCTTTTGATAGGTTAACTGACAACATGTGAGTTAATTGGAGGCACCTGTGGATGTATTTTAAGGCACATCTCAAACACACTGCTTCCTTTAGTCACAACATGGAAAATCTAAAGAAACCAGCCAAGATATCAGGAAGAGAACTGTGGACCTCCACATGTCTGGTTCATCCTCAGGTGCAATTTCTAGAAGACATCACTCCAAAAGCAACATAAAGAAGCCAGATTACAGTTTGTAGATGCACACAGTGACAAAGAGCTTCATCAGTGGAGACATGTCCTGTGGTCTGATGGAACTAAACCTGAACTGTTTGGCCTTAATGACCATCGGTACATCTGGAGGAAAAAGGAGGAAGCTTGAAGCCTGAGAACACCATCCCAGCTGTGGAGCACGGGGGTGGCAGCATCATGCTGTGGAGGGACTGGTGACCTTCACACAATAGATGGCATCATGAGGAAAGAACATTATTGAAGCAACATCTCCAGACATCAGCAGGAAGTTAAAGCTTGGACACTAATGGGTCTTCAGATGGACAATGACCCTCAGCATAGCGCCAGATTAGCTACAGAGAGGCTTCAGGACAACAAAGTCAGTGTTGTGGAGTGGCCATCACAAAGTCCTGATCTCAGTCCGGGAGAACATTAGTGGAGCAACAAACCTGACCCAGTTCCACCAGTTCTGTCAGGACGAATGGGCCAGAACTCATCAAACTGTTGTGAGAAGCTTGTAGAAGGAAACCCAGAACGTTTTACCCAAGTCATAGAGTTTAAAGGCAACGCTACCAGATACTGAGGAGATGGATGGAAACTTCTGACAAATATCAATAATTTTGATAATCCTAACTGACCTGAAACAGGAAGAGTTTAGTCTCATTAAATGTCAGACAGTGAGAAAAAAAAAAGGTTTTGGGTCTTTTATACAGTGGATGTAAACTTCTGGTTTACATTTGTAATGTCGCCGAGCGGATTTTGTGGTGAACATTATGTGTTAAAATCAGTTTATCAGCATTTGGAAAAACTCCAGATTGCTGATTGTTATCGTGTCTGATTACCAGTTGATGAAATGTGCAACCTTAACGCTGCCGTCCAGTCACATCACGTCTATTCTGCGTTTTTAGGAGTTTCACGGTGCGACTCCTTGAACTTTCACAATGTGATTTTTGCCAAAACTTGCACAACCAACAGACTGTAATCAGCTGCAGGCTACTTACGCAACACAAAAGGAACAGGCTGTGGATTCGTCTCATTCCAAACCCAGCAGCTCGACGTCAAAGATGAGGGTGGCGTTGGGAGGGATGATGCCCGGGTGGCCTCTGTTTCCGTAAGCGAAGTCGGGCGAACAGGTCAGCTTGGCCCTCTGACCAACACTCATCTGCAGGAACAAAACATTGTTTGTTATTGAGCAGCTGGAAGACTCAGCTGATTGGATCATAAAACATCCTCTGCTGCATAAGAGAAGCCACAGGAGACAGCGAAAGTGACACTGAAAACATCTTGTTTACTAATGATGCTTCAGTATCGCTACATCCAATCCTCAGTGCTTCCACTCTCGCTGCTCTGCTCTCGTTGGGATATTGAAGATCCCACACAGTGCAGAGAGCATCTGAAGCTGCTGTCATGAATCTGCAGCAGCCTCACATAAATGCATATAAATGCAGGTCTGAGTCGTGTCTGTGCTGCGCAGCTCCAGCGTGTGTGTGCAGAGTTAATGGAGAGCCTGGTGAGTGAAAACGCTCGATAATGGAGCAACAACATTATCAGCAGCGAAACGCATCTTCTTTCTTACACCCCAATTACGTTTGCCTCTGAATCACGACTGCTGGAGCCACTTAGCGGCGCGACTTTTCATTCCCAGAATCCGTCTGGCACTAATAAATACGCCGCGCCGCGTCTTCTGAGGGGATAAATTGATGCAACATGTAGAATTTGTTACAGTTCACAAAAGCAAACATTCATATTCGCTGCCGGTTCATTATTTCATCCGTGCAGCATCAGCGTTTCTGCAGCGTTTGCCAGATTACATTTCTTTAAGACCACGCAGAAAGCAATTTAATACATTTTTCGAAGCCAAAGAATCCCGAGGAGATGATAAAGTCTGAAATTATTTACCCAGGACACTACATTAGTGACAGCTTGTGTTTACCTGCCATATTTCCTAGTCATGTAAATAATCCATTCATGTGCCATCGATCCAGATGAGCTGCAGGCGTTTGATGGATGGAAAAAACAATCATTGAAGCTGATTCCAGGAATGAAACTATTTTCTGCAGCTGTCCTGTCACTTGTACTTTTATCATTTGTAGTTCACTTTGAGGCCTTTTTGGGGCCTTGTCTCCGGCCTACCTGCACGACTCCCTCTTCCCAGCCTCGGATCACTTCTTGCTTGCCAATCTGGAACCGGAAAGGCTTGTCCCTGTCGCGGGACGAATCAAACTTCCGTCCGTCTGTCAGGGAGCCTTCGAGCAGAGAGGGGGGGAGTTAGAAAGCACAGAGTTAGAAAGAATCCATCCACTCAGAGGATTCCTGGTTTGTTTTTAAACACGAGAATACTCAACAAATGCATATTTCCAGCTTTTTCTGACATCCATCCGCCGCGTATATATACTGAGTGCGCAAATGAAGGGATTCCAAGGATCTCAGAAATAGCCGCTGCAGCTGTCTGCAGGGTGGGTTTCACTGTGACAGTCAGGAAAACACAAGCATCAATCCACAGAACAGCAGCCCTCCAAGACTATTTACGCGATCGCTGTTATTAGCACCAGCGCTGCAGCAGCATGTGTGTGCGTCTTGTGTAGGTGCTACAGCGCACATGTTGTTGGGCACATCAGGGGGCGGCTGGCGAGCTGCAGCCTGTAATCCAGGCAGCAGAGTGGGAGCATCGAGATAGCAGCCTAATGGAATTATCTGCAAGAGCTGAAAGGTCCGATTCGAGCATCATCACTCGGCTGCTTTTTCACAGGCAAACAACACGGCGGTGACATTTTCACACGCCGACTATTTCCTGCAAGACAGAGCTCGTCTGAAAAAAACGAACCCCTCCGAGAATCCATGTTTTGATCTTGACATTAGAAAAAAAAAAAAAGAAGGGCCTGCTTGGTGTAATGGAATATCCTGTTTCATGTCGCATTTCAAGGCTGCTTTGTAAGCTGACAGGAAGGGAGACGGCCCAGAGAGGAAATCCTGGAGATGGTGTGATATTAAATAAAAAAAATAAAAAGGAAAAAAAAAAAGAGAGAGAGGGAGAAAGAAAACAGAATGCAGGCTCATGTTTTAAAAAGAAATAAAAAAAATGCTTCACTCTGCAAGGCCCAAATCGGGTCTTACTTCAGGTTACATAATCTGGGAGCAAAGAGGCTTCTTGTGTTACAGAGTGAGTTATGTCTGTCTCACCAGCTTTGCCAAACTCAGAACAGGTGCAGACAAATATACAGCAGAACATGCTGCGAAGCAAAAGCCTCCGAAACCGCATTTTGCTGCTGATGCTACATTCTATTCCTGCTTTTAAATCGCACACTCTTTTAATACACCACCAACATGCT